AACAAAGTTTCCCCTTTACTTATGGGTTATTGTTCGTTATAATTAGTATCTCCACGTCATGTTCAGCCATAAGAATTGAATGATACAGTTTTTATCTGTTATTTCCTAATTTGAGAAATTGTCAACAACTTCGATGTAACGTTTTAATTGTTGTTTGCCGTAAACGTGCTTTTAAACCTTTCTGAATAACACTTGAGCCTTAAATAAGATGGGCGAAACTTATGGTCAACTTCGTCGAATCAGTATCGACAGCCCCTGTGTTTCACAAACTTCGTGCTCGTCCTTCTTTGAACCATCTTAGATCCACATACAAGGATACAAGGCTGATCGCTGAGATCACCTTGTAGAATCGTTTATTTGAGTCATGAAAACGGCGATTATTAAACCAATACCAAGGTTACACGTCACCTTATTCAATGCACACAAGTTTGTTATGTTGTGTCCGAAATCTTTAGAGGATTATTTTTTTTTGTCAGAGATTAATGTGATCTTAAGACGTTGTTTCTGGAACTTTTATTTTTGACGAGATATTTGTTGTTTCCAAAAATTGTAAAGCTGATAAAAGTTTAGTTTAAATTAGTAAGCTGAAAGTCATCAAATGGAGGGAAACAAGAGAGAATGAGCTATCAGTTAGGGAAACGATTGCAAGCCAGCCGTCATCATGACTAAGGCCGGGGATAGGTGCAAGGAGCAAAGTTATGAAATTGTTTTTTAATTTGTCTTGGCATGGAAAGACTCAACCAACCTTCTTATTTTTTAAGTTTTTTTTTTGTCGCATAAGAAAAATGCAAACGCAATTTGAACATTAATTTCTACCAAAAGCTTAAGAGAACTCCATTACTCAAAAGACCACAAACGGCTGGTATGTTGAAACTGCTTATATAATGCGAAGATAAAAACCTGTTTGTCCACTTCTTATCCTGTTGTAGAATGTTCTACCAGAAACATTATGTAATATTCTAATTGGGTCCTTAAAATAAACAAACAGTCGTGACAAAGTACTCAGCGCAAACGTGTCTGTTCCAGCACGAGTGTTTCTTCTTCAACACAGATCTGACTGAACTTAATATACTGATATTATTTTAATTGCAGTACTTAGCCAGTGAAGATGAAGGTTTCAGGAACTTCCGTTATACTTCTTCTTTTTTTTACTGCTGTTGCAGGTAATGCATTTTATCTTGCAGTGCTGTTGGCTCAGGTTTTTATGCTGCAGGCTATGCGTATGCGTTTCTTGCTCCAGATAAGCCACAGTGATCACCTCCACACTTAATTTGCCGTTATTTTCTTTAAGATTAAACTTCTTTCATTTTCTATTATCTAAAACAAGCAAACTTGACCAAGTACGATTTCTTGTATACTGATAGATTTTATCGGTTGTTTGTTCCCTGACAAACCACGTCACATTGTTTTTGACCCATCAGTCCTTGGGCCCGTGCAAAGATGGCGGATATCGTAAATAAGGTTTCCCAGACAGCAATCATATTAGACCAGAAAGCCTCGGAGTCATGTTAGAATTTTAATATATCGAACGTAGGCTATTATCATTCGATGCAAATTGTTCTTTTCATTGGCCGAAAGCCCACCACGTGACCTGCTAAAATCTGCCCACAATTAGTGGTCTGCTCACACGCAATGTCGTTCAATTGTGTTTGGCTTTAGTGTTTGGCTGCAAATAATATCCTGCCCATGCGTAGATGGCAGATCGCTTCGCTCTCCGAAGACATTCATTAAAAAACAAACTTGGAACAATTAGTGAACTCGGTTATCGCAAAATATCGTGATTTGTCATTGTCTCGCAGATCAACTATTTGCCTCTGCCTTCGGCTTCGGGAAATAATTGATGTGCTCGCCACTGAGAAATCACGACATTTTGCTCAACCAGTCAACCTCGTCCAATAATTGCTAGCCTGCGAGCAAGCTATCCTATTTGGGCGAGTGAAGCGAGTCTCGCGAGAACGCGCGAGCGAGCGGCGAAGCCGCGAGGGGCCGGCGAAAGGAGAGCTTGCAACCATCCCTCACAAATTTTCATTTGTACTTCGCCCAGACGAAGGGAAATACCATTGGCTGAAAAATGACGTTCCGGAAATCAAAGTTGATTGATAACAGGCTGAGCTGGCACCCGCTTCGTCTGTGTGTCAAATTTGGTTCTCAAGGGGATCAGATTGGTACCGAGAACTTGTTTCAGCCCTCAAAGCAGACGGGCTCGTTTCCTCGGCCCCCTCGCTCGCGCGTTCTCGCGAGGCTCACTTCGCTTACCCAAATAGGAGAGCTTGCTCGCAGGCTAAATAATTGCTAAATATGAATCCTTCAGAACAGCTGGATTACTGTACTTTTAATCTTTTCACTGCCAAAGGTGGCCAAAGTTAAAATTCAACCAAATTTCCAAATTTCGTTTTGTAAAATACTGAAAAGCAAATAGTACCAAGTGAAAACACTGCCAAAGATGTTAAGACGGAATCCATCAGGAAATTGAGTAATTTTAATTTTCAGTGGACAAAAACCTTGTACCACTCATTATTTTAGGCCATACCGCACCCCGCTTTTTAACACTTTTCAAGGGTTATGGATGTAAATATTTATTTGTAATAACACCAAAGACAATTTCCCATCGGAGTCCGAGAAAATAAATTAAAAATTTCACAGAACTTTTAAGAAAACACAAAATCGTCATGAGTAAGATTTCATTTAGTGAAATTTGAAGCTTTTGAAGTTTGTTTTATCACAAGGTTTTTTGTCCACTGATGGATTCCGTCTTAATTCATTGGAATGGTCACACCAAATAATTTTGTTCACAGACTAAAATGAAGCCTATTGCGTCATGTCATTAATGCATTCCACACGGCAAATTAATCTGAGATTCCTCGGTAAAAAGGAAGACAAACTCCTTTACCACCCATGTCTAATACTTTTGCCCAACCTGAGTCGTTCATCCACAATACGTTTGTGTATCATATGATTAATGTTTCGTACATTCACACCAAAAACAGTAACGATATCACATGCTTGAACATTGCAGTAGAAGGAATAATTCCTAATGAAGATAAAAAAAAAAGAACATCCCTTCTGCGAATCCTGCAAACTGCAAACTTATCTTTCTTTTCAATTTGATTAGTTTACTTATTCACATTTTCTTCGCTTCGATTTGAATTTAGCCTTGCCCTCTGATCGGAAGCAGACGCATGAAGTTGACAAAACTGTTTGGGTTCGCTCCACGGCGTTCGGTAAGTAAAAGAAAATTAAGAAAGTTAAAAGAAAGTTAAAGAAAATTAAACTTGTTAAGAAACCTTATTTTCTCGTATTTTTCTTTTTTTGATTTAGTGCAAACTCGAAATTATAGAGAGGCTTGGTTAGTTAATTATGGAATGTGTCGTTGCTTTTTAGTAAATATTTTCACGTTTACTTAAACTTCTTGTTACCCTGGGTGCCAGAGGCTTTTCATGCGCGGTTTCCGGTTTCGGTTAAGTGTCTTCGGCCTTCGGCCGAACACGTGTCGGCCTGCGGCCGAGGAAAAGAAGCTTCCCATCGCACGCGAGAAAAAACCTCTGGTACCCAGGGTAACTTCTTGTTGATTGTTCAAATCCATTTATAGTCCCTCGGTCGTACTCACCCAAACATTCGTTGAAATCCAGAGATAAAAACTTTTTTCTATCTTGTTATTGAATTCATAACTTAACTCGGCTCAGTCTCTGTTTAGTTCATATTTTTAACGTATCACCCCGGGGGGGGGGGGGGGGGGGTTCCCCATTTAGAAAGGGGGGGGTTACCTGCTTCTCTGCCTCAACCGGAGAAAATTTTTTAGGGCTGTTTGCAAAAGTGTTCGGAAGGGGGCGGAGAACCCCGCGGGACACCGCTACCCAGTTCTGCAGCCCCCCCTTCTTCCACCTAACATTCGTGTAAACTTAGAAAGAAAATCTTTTTTTTATTTTTTTTTTTAATTCATAATTTACCCGGGTTCATTGTTTGTTTTTTTTATTTTTTTTACGTTTCCCCCCGGGGGGGGGGGGGGAACTCCGCATATGAAAGCGGTGGGGATACTCGTCGTCTTCGCTAACGGCGAAGAACATTTTACGGCAGTATGCCAATGAGTTTAGAACGGGTGCGGGAAACCCCACGGGACACCTATGCATATTGCGTTGGACCCCCCTGTTACACCTGTATATGTCCCAACATGCCGAGCTGCCCGCGCAAAGTGAAGAACTGAAGAGGCTTTGTGAAGAAGGGATTATTAGGCCTGTTACCCAACCTACAGATTGGCTGTCAACATGCTGGTTAAAGAAAAACCAAACAGCAAATTTCGCATCTGTATTGACCCAAGCCAGACCATAAATAAGTCGATTAAGAGACCCAAACACACGATACCGACCATCGAAGAGAAGGTTCCTCTAGTAACAAAAGCCAAAGTCTTCACCACTCTAAATGTATATCTGAAGCATTCCAAACCATTGTACTGGATGGAAATTCCTCTCTACTCACGACGTTTCAGGGGCCAAACGGTCGCTATTGCTATAACCACATGCCGTTCGGTATTGCTTCTGGTCCGGAGGAATACCAGCGGCGGCAGCATGAATTCTTAGTCGGTCTATGCGGTGTAATTAACATCGCCGATGATATTTGATTGTATGGGTGGGGCGACACAAAGGAAGACGCTGACATCGACCACGACCGAAACCTGGTGCAACTCTTGGAGAGGTGTGCTGAACACGATCTACAGTTCCGCGAAAAAAACTTCACTTCAAATCTCCATGTGTCACTTTAATGGGGCACAAGCTTACCCATAAAGGGGTGGAGCCCGATCCTGCCAAAGTAGCCGCCATCAGAGAAGTGCAAGTTCCAACCGACAAAGCTGCAGTGCAACGCTTTCCTGTGAATGTGCCAATACCTGTCCAAATTCTGTCACAACCTGTCCAAAACGGTCTTGCCGTTGGGGAACCTTACCAAAGATGACTGTAGTTCTTTGTTCTGAAAGTCACGAAACAGCATTTAACTCAGCTAAACGTCTCATGGCCTCAACAACAGCGCTGCGCTATTATGACACACACCTCCTAGTGACACTTAAAGTACAGAGAAACCCCGCCTTACGGCCACTTTTTTCGGCCGCTTAGCAAAAGCTGTCTTACACTTTCTTGTAAAAAAAAAACCCTCGTTAATACGGCCAAATTTTTTTCGCTTATTGGATTCCACTGGAGACGCATCTGACCATGCAATAGCTGGGGTTTTACTAGAAGAGGGGCCCCTGTCTGTCTCACTTCACATACCAACCGCAACACAGAAAAAAACTATGCTCAAATAGAGAAAGAGTGTCTTGCGAGTGTATCCTGCATGGATAAATGGCATTACTACTTGTAAGACAATCATGAGATCACAGCCCACTCAGACCACCAACCCCTGGAGACAATCTTTAAGAAACCCTTGAGTAGAGCCCCCCGCAGATTGCAAAGAATGATGCCGAAGTTGCAGAAATACCAGTTCACCGCTCGTTATAAGAAAGGGAAATAGCTTTTTGTAGCAGACACTCTGTCTCGCGCAGTCACCAATGTTCATGATGACACAACCCCGACAGTCATTCAGGAGTGCGAAGTGTTTCGTGTAGAACTGTGGATGTGGGCGCAAATAGAGTAAAAGTTCGAACAATGAACCAGATCAGAGAGGAGACTAGGCTTTTGTACATTATGCTAGCATTTTTTCGAGCATTTTAGTGAGGCAAAAGTAAGGTGGAGCATTATTCGAGCATTTTAGTGGCATTTTCCCCGGAAAATTAATTTTCCCGAGAAAATAAAATAGAAATTAACTTTTTTCAGGAGCCCACGCCCCATGAGCTCCTGCTTTTTTAAACAAAGTGAAGACTAAAATTCCAAATTCGCAAAAAAACTAATGCAGCTGGGTTTTTTGGCTGTATTTATGAACTTGTACACGTTGTCGTTGTTACTTGCAACACTTGCACGTTTTTGTAAGTGTAAACTTTGAAATTAATTTAAAAAACCCGTTTGTATAATGAGCATTATCCGAGCATTTTAGTGACTTTTTTGGGGAGACCGAGCATTTTAGTGGGAAAAATGGAGCATTAAGGTGGAGCATTTTAGTAGGGAAGCAAAAGCATAATGTACAAAAGCCTAGAGGAGACTTCAAAAGATCCTGTTCGAGCAGTATTGCATAAAGTAAATCTGAGTTTACTGGGATTCAAGAGACGAGATCACAGTGTATGATGGAATCCTTTAAAAGTCTCATCAAGTTATCGTACCCACATCCTTGCGACCTGGAATGTTACGGAAGATACACAAAGCTCACCAAGGCGCAGATAGCAGTATACGACGAGCACGTGAATCAGTGGACTGGCCAGGCATGCAAGCAGCAATCAGGCATACATGTTCATCTTGCGGAGTTTGTGCCCAGTACTTAAGGGAGCGACCTTGAGAACCCATGGGGTCACACGACAAGCATGTGATAAAACATGGATTAATAAAACATGGATTAATAAAACATGGAAAGATGTGGATTAATATAATAAAATACAGTCAACATAAGCAAATGCATGAGTTCTTGTTCTGCTCACTTTTCAGAACCAGTAAACTATTGATTCTAATGAACCAATGAGTCACCTTTTCAAATATTATTTTTGTTCTATGATGCAGGTCCGCTAACAACGCTCTCGTGAAACTAAAAACAACAACGACGACAAAAAGTAACGTAAAGTAACGTTATTCAGCGAGGGTGACACTTCACAATTTCAAGCGCTAGTATAAAAACAAATGGCCCTCTGAGTGACTCCAACGGACTCGTGTTGAAAATAATTATGTTTTTCTTTCTTCACCATTTTGTCGGCTTGTGAATACGTGGCGTTTAACTTTCTTCCAACGTGTTCCACGTGTTTTCGGAAATGCCTCGGCATTGTCCCGGCGACTGGTTGGCTATAGGTTTTGCTCGTCACTCCTTCGTCATGCGCATTGCTATGGCATGGAAGGGAAATGGCGAAATACCAGATCTTTTGGGATTTCAGGACATATGAATAGTCTTGCAACAATGCAACAACATGATTAACGACTGATCACTTTTTTATTCCCTGCTTACCCCATTGTTATTGCTTGATGTAAATCAAATCTACCTCCCTAATCAAGGTAAAAAAAGTTTAAAATCAGGTCAGTAAAATTATATCAAAGTAGAAAATGTCACATCACGGTAGTAAAATGATATCAAGGTAGAAAATGTTCCATCATGGTAGAAAAATGATACAGTATCAAGGTAGAAAACGTTGCACCACGGGAGTAAAATGATATCAAGGTAGAAAAGTTCAATCATGGTAGAAAAAGGATATCAAGGTAGAAATTGTCTCATCACGGCAGTTCAATTATAACAAGGTATAAAATTTTCCATCACGGTAGCTATAAAGTGCTATCAAGGTAGAAAATGTTACATCGCGGTAGTAAATTGATATCAAGATAGAAAATGTTCCAGGACATTATCCCTACAGCTACCAGTCAGGTCGTCTCAAAACTAGCGTGTCCCGGCGTTGCACAAGAAAACATTGCAGAAAAGAGAAATAGGTCAAAGGTGCAGTACGAAAGAAGGCATTAACCCCTTTTAGAGAGTTCATAGAAGGGAAAAAAGTGTACCTCGAACCCCGCCCCACAACAAGTCTCAACCATAGATCTATGGGGAGGTAGTAGAAAAGCCCACACCAAGGTCTTGCGTGGTCAAAACAGCGATGGGACCAGTTCACCGTAATCATTGCCTCATCAGGAGAGCGAAAGCAGGGCCAGCTGATGGATACAGCACAGTGATGGACTAGCTTGAAATCGCATCTACGCATTCAGAGCCAGAACAGGAGAGACAACCACCAAACGCTGACTCAACAGGGGTAACAATGCCCAGCACACCTGGAATCGAATCAGAAGACATGTTGTCTGCAACGATAGAATGTGGACCGCCCCGATCACAACGTGAGCCCGGACAGCCTTCAAGATTCAGAGACAACGTCATGTAAAACAACTGTTCGTATCGATTTCGTTTCAGGAACTACGTCAAGTCGAGACTGTTTTAAAAGCACTAGTTTTCTTTGCTTTCTTTTTCTTGTTTTTGTTAGAGGGAAGGTGTTACTCAACTACGTATCACATGCTTCGTTGAACCAACATGTTATTACCGTATTATCGCAAAGACCTTTGCATACTTTAGTCCTTTGCGCACCCTGTACATATTTACAGATGACAGCGCATTAAATATTCCGTAACGACGTTACGGGGGGAGGGGGAGGGGGGGCTAGCTTATAGTACTATTGAGCAGTTTTAGCATTACTTTGACCTGCTGATAATTTTCTCAAATTGCATGTTTAGGTATTGTTGGATTGAGGAAGGATATCTAGTTTTTAGTACTTCATAGTTGTTTACAGTTTTTTTTACATTCAATTTTATTTATTTATTTATTTATTTATTTATCAGGACCCTACTGTAAAACACTTAAGTGAATCCCGGGTCCTGAATAAAGATTGATTTTAATTTATTTAAAGGCCCCAAGGTGCCTGAGACTCAGTACCCCAAGCCAAACGTACTAATGGCAAACCCGATAAAGAATAAAAATGCAAATGCCGGGCTTGAACAATACCAACAACTGCCGTCTAATGTGGAGATCAAAATTAAGATGGTAAACGGTTAGTATTTTCTCTTTTATAGTTTCCATTCATTTCGACGTCTATATTAAACTTACAATAAAAATCCACCATGAAAATAACTCTTCTTTATGATGCTCCTTCTTTCAGATAATGTCAACGCGGTAATTAGAAACCAACAGGGTAAGCGCAGTTTTAAACAAACAAAACAATTAGCAGCCTTCAAAATTCTTATCGATACAGCGCTTATTTAACAAATTTTGTCGCTTATTATCCCAATACTCTGAGAAGTTTTTGTTTAGTTAACTTGATTTTAACCTTGTGCCCAGAGCACTGGGGAAGAGATTGACTCCATATGCCTCTTCGCCTCTTCTCTCCCCGGAGGGTTTTAAATTTCCTGGACGTTATTTTATTTCAGATCTGGCGAACTTTATGTCCCAGATGTTTGAAGGTAAGTGAAACAGCTTTTTGGAACAAAAAACTTGCTATTTTTCTCCTTGAACTAAAAGAATTCTGCAGTCCACATGTGCGAGCGGAATTCGGACTCGGCTGTTCTCATTCGGACTTGGCTGTTCTCAAGCTACTAAGGCTTTCGAAAGCAAATGTACATATCGGTACACTGCATGGGCTGACCAGTGCGGCTGGCAGCCATTCAGGGCAGACTCTACTAGAGTGTTCCACCTCCCAATGATAAGGCTAGGGGGAGCAGAGATGGGGAGCTATTTGGCAAATTTTATCGGTCTATTTTATTTATTTTGTTACTACGAAAGCTGATACGGCTTCCTGACATCGCATTAATATTTTACAAATTCGCAAGACATGTGATGTTTACTTCTGTTACTTCAATAAAAACTAATAGGGACACTGAGGGTGCAGTCAGAGATTGCTTTAAGCTTTCAAAGTAACTTACAAAAAATGTGTCAGGTTCATTTCTTTTGGAGCGAGAAGAAAACTTCTGTTTGTTTTGCCTCCGTCACCAATAAGTAATAGGCCAGTTGCACTGAGAGGTCACGTGACCAATGCTTCCTTTAAACGATGCGTTGGAATCTTGCTGATGCCAAAAATTGAAAGAGCACATAAAAATTATCTTACACCCGAAATTTGAGAGGAAACGCATTTAAGGGAGATATTTTATGGCACTTTGAGTTTTCAGCAAAGCAGTATGATTTATACTGGCCACCATGTTGGAGGGCATACTCTTACCCTCCAACATTCCGGCCAAAACTACTTTTTGCTTATATCTTGTTAAACGTTTGATAGTTACGCTCAGATGTGCTGTAAACGTTACCACATCATCTTTTCAACATTTCCCTTGAACTTTAAGTGCAAAATTTGTGTTCTGAAAGATGTAATACTTAATTTTAAAAATCACATTTTGGTCACGTGATGAGCTACGAAGGAACTTACTCATTTTAAGAAAATGGTGCGGATTTGAAAAACCAAATTACTATTATTTTGTTTAAGATATGACCCACTAATCGTTTTTTCGAGGGCAAAATCATATAACTTTCATTTTCATAAACACGATGTCACATGACCTCTTAGTGCAAATGGCCTATTAAGGCTTTATACAAAAGGTCTAGACTAAAGCCTGGTTTTCACTAGCGCGTAAGCGTGACCATAAGCATAAGCACAAGCACATTTGTAAGCAAGTGAAAACTGGGTCGACATAAACTTAAGCACAAAAAAAAAAAACAGACAAGTTCGTTCTTCTTGTGCATGTGCTTATGCTTATGTCGTAGCTTCGACAAGTTTAAAACTGGGTCAATATAAGCACAAGTATAAGCACAAGGCCGTGGACCAATCATAGGTCACTTTGACTCAGACCTCATGCGAACATATCAAAAGCAATATGGCGGACGCTTCGTCCGTCATCTTGTTCATCATTGGGTTGAGGAGAGCTGGTATCGAGAATTGAGTCAAATTATGCCATTCTGCGCGTACGTGTGTCCTTAAGCTTTTGCTTATGCGCTAGTGAAAACCAGGCTTAAGGGTGCGTTTCTTTGAGATGATCTGGATCAGGTTCAGTGATCTGAGATCACTGATCGGATCATGGTAGATCAAATGAACCGGTGAATCCACTCTGGACAAGGATTCATCGGTTCCTTTGATCTACCATGATCCGAGTGATCTCGGATCACTGATCCTGATCCAGATCATCCCAGAGGAACGCACCCTAAATGTAGGCTGGCTGAAACGCAGGCTATTGAAGTGGTGCCTCAATAAAGAGGAGAGCCAGTTTCTTGGGTATTTTTAGCCTGTGTGGCAGGCGTTTGAAAGGGAAGGGAAAGGGAGTTTTAGGCGCGAGCAAGAGAGGATAAAGGCGACAGAGAAGGCAACCCCATACACACCCTATTCCATAGGTAATTCGTCTCGAGTTATTTTTAAGACCGCAGATCCCAAGGGGGATTAGACAAAAGCCAATCACATAGTGCGAATGTGTTCCGCGCGGATGACCCACGCTCAGAGCCACGCGTCCTTCACGAATTGACGAAGAACAAAATGGCGGAAGACGCGGAGAGCGATATTGCTATTCGTTTTGTCGACGAAAACGACTACAGAGAGATTTCTGCTACACCTGTGTCATCGAGACGGAAATTAAAAAAGAATTGCCCTTCCTCTCTTTTATAGAGCTAACAGTACAGCAGGAAAATCCTTAACACACTAAATATTCTCTCAGGATCATTTATAATTTACAGGTTGAAGAGAGCAATTTCTGGTTTGATATTTATTCTTTTATCAGTCTTTTATTATTCAACAAAAATAACACTTGGCGTCCTACTTGCTTTATTGTACAAACGACCAGTTTCAATAGACTGGCGAAATTTCTCATTCTATTAAAGCACTGAGGTTACGACAACTTCGAGCTAAACTGATTTCACGGGTTGTCAAAGAGTCTAGCGATTCCCTTTTCCCAGGTGAGCGCCGACTCATTTCGCGTCAATATTCAGGAATGCTCTCGATATCTTTACGCTTTCATTGCCTTTCGCGCGACATGTTTTGCACGGCGTTTAGTCATGCGAAACCTCCACGAAACATCCACGCAGCGCGCGAGGAAACTTTATCCCGATTCTAAAAATAACTCGAGACGAATTATCTATGGAATAGGGTGTGTATGGGGGATGCCTTCTCTGTCCCCTTTATCCTCTCTTGGCGCGAGAGAAACGCGAGGGGCGCCCCTTGTGTTTCTCTCGCGCCTAAAACTCCCTTTCCCTTTCAAACGCCTGCCACTTAGGCTAGGGCATTTTAAAAAAACATGAAAATGTTTCTGGCAGCTGTAAGGGGACCATCCTCGCACCTTCGACCCAAAACGCTGTTAAGCCTTTTAAGCAACGCTTCATGGTTTACACAACCGATTTTCCCGCACTTAGTATGCATGTACACCTGTGTTCAGACCTGGGTTTCATAAACATGATTCGCCGGCTAAGATTAATCAGAGATAACTTGCCGATAAACTTAAAGCAGCTAAAAGAATTGGCAGACCTCTAGCAGCTTTACGACCTCGCTTTATATTTTGTTAATTAAAATCAGCTGTGTAGTGTTTATGGTTTACCTCTAAAAACTTTCGGAACTTTGTTTGTTTCAGCCCTGTTTACAAACCAAGGAGGTAAGCGAAGCATTTTTCTGTTATCGATGAACTTAACTTTGCACCATAAAATCCCACACGTACCATTAGAAACGATCAAAACAACAGGTCTGACTGCGACATATCACTTACGTGATTCACTAGATTGTTGGGTGTTACATGTTGCGTCCGTTTACATACCCTGTTGCGTGTCGTTGAGCAAAGTTTGAAACCGCTCAAACTTTTAGGCCCTTACAAACAGACGCATGCAGAATTTGATACCAGTTACGGGAACGACTAAAGGATTCATTTTTCAAATAATCAATTCATTAATAGAATCTTGGGGGGGTGGGGTACGGGTACTCTTGACCTACTTTGACTGTAAAGAGGTCATGTCATCAGGATATTGCTGGTTTGTGATTAACTGGTCAATGAGTCATGCATTACTTTGTGCCTTTAATCATACACAAAATGCTTCGTTGGAGATATGATTAAGGTATCCAACAAATTTCATCAGGGAGCGCTTACCATGATAAAGGGAATGGCCGGAATTTTGCATACATTGCATAAAACTCGAAAAAGTTGGCCCAACCTTTTCAAGTTTCAATCCATGTCCATCCTTGGCATCCGTTGCAACAGACGACAGAAAACAGTTTCAATATCAAAATATAATCTTAAATAACAACATTAGACCATTATTTTTTTTAATTTAATTGATGTGAAGACGAGTTTTAGCTTTAAAAAAAAGATAGAAAATAGTTTGACATAGCCCCATTCACCCGTCGGCTTTGTTGTTTTAAAACTTACGAAAAAATATGTTTCAGGGCTACACCAAAATTTAAAGTACATAATAAACATGGTGGAGCAGATTCCAGGTAACAAAGGTGAGTTATTATCAGTAGTACCTTAAGAAAACAAGTCAAAGAAGTAAGAAAGAAATCTTATATACCCGGGAAAGATGAAGATGAAACGATGAATATATGAATATCGTATATTAAAACCGCGGAATGAAGAAATAAATGCGGAGAAAAACATCACAGTTAAAGACGCAACTTACGTGGTTGCGAAAAAGAAAGCCTGAAAAATTTCGGCTTGCCGAGTATGTAACCGGGTATATTATGAACTAGTGCAATGACCAGCTTCCAGTTGGCTTACTACAGTAAAATTCCGAAAATAAGCCCCGGGGCCTACATTTTTCAAAGGCCCTTTTTGAGAGGCTTATTTTTGGAGGGGCCTATATTCGGAGGGGCTTATCTACGGAGAGAAATTTGCGTTTCAAAATTGACTGGGCTAGCCTTATAGTTGGAAGGATATTCACACCGTTTTTGCTTTGTTTTACTCTGTATTTGAGGGCAAATTCCAAGTACAAGCCCCCCGGGGGGCTTATATTTGGAGGGGCAATTTAACGGAGGGTTTTTTGCGTTACGAGTTTGGGGGCTTATACATGGAGGGGCTTATTTTCGGAATCTTACGGTAGCTCAGTTGGTTAGAACGCTGCACCGATATCGCAAAGGTCAGGGTTCCAATCCCAGCAAGCCTTTCAGGCTTTCTTTTGGCAACTGCATAAGTTGCGTCTTTATTTGGGACGCGGCGGCCGTCTTTGCATTTATTTTTACTTTGCGATTCGCAACCATATACCAAATATATGAATTCATGTATTCATTATTTCAAAATAAACACAATTACGTTTCTTTTTTGTTATGAAAAATAACGGCCAGGTTCGGGCAAAATTTTCGTGGACGCAAGGACAAAATACAATAGCTAGCCGAAAAGTCAGTAAACAAAATACCCCGGGGGTGGGGTACTTGGGTTAATTTTTGCTGGGCCAATTATAGACCCCATCTTAGTCCCTTTTGGGCAAATATTAAAAAATCGCGATCCCAACTTAGTCACTTGCTATTTATAATTATGTAATTACCTTATATTGATTGAGAACGCTAGAAGTGAACAAATATCTGGCGACTTTGCTGTAATTCCAAACGTGAAGGCTCTGACTTCCATTCAGTCTAAAGGTTGGAGCTAGAAAGAGCAGCAGTAGCAGTAGTAGGAGTAGTAGTAGTGGTGGTAGTGGAAAGCAGTAGCGGTCAGTGGTATAATACTGTTTTTATTATTAATTAATTAATTAATTAATTAATTGTGCGTGTGTGTTTCTTTTAAAGTTTGATGCCGGAAAATATCCTCTTCATCAGATGGTTGCTTCCCTGGGAACCGGTCATTGGACTTGACCCGTCATATAATGTTATTACATAAAGTGGTAAAATTCCTGAAGTTAATTACAAATAAAGTAACTGAAATTTAAAGTTCTTCTCTTCATTGGAAGCCTTTTACTGACAAAAATAATTCTGAGTGGTCATTTGGAAGTGGGAGTGTTATATCATAGGGGACCCAGAATCACAACAGCCTGCTGGAAGCCAAATTATAAGGGTTTGTATGAGAATAGGCCCTTTGCAGCTAGCCAATAGACTACGAGTAGTCCTCCATTTTTCCTCAGGGGTAGTAGAGCGAACGAAACGCGAGCGCGCGTGAAAATCACCCTACGCGAGAGAAGGCGACACGGATGATTTTCATGCGCGCTCGCGTTTCGCTCGCTCTACTATCCCTGGGGAAAAATGGGCGACTACTCGTAGTCTAGCTAGCCAATCACGTAGTACAAAACCGCTGTGCGAGAGCAAACGTCGCACCGGGACAAGACAAACAAAGGAAATTATCATTTAAAATTATGTATGCCTTTTGTTTGTCTTATCCCAGTGCGACTTTTCCTCTCCACTACGGCGGTTTTGTACCACGTGAATGGCTAGCTGCAAAGGGCCTATTTATCGTAAGATCGACAAAACGGTTAAAATGTACATGAACAGCTATTAAAGTATACATATCTCAAAAAGACACGAGTTCTGTCTGTGTTGGTTTCTTACTGTTTTCTGTCCCATAAACGCCGTTTTACCAACTTTTAATGTAATTGTGTCTCAACTAAATCGGCGTTTATAGGACAGAGAACAGTGAGAAACCGACACAGACTCAACTCTTTATGAGATATGAATACTTAAATAGCGGTTTATGCACATTTTAACCGTTTTATCGATCTTACGATAAATCCCCATACAAATCCTTATAATTTGGCTTTCAGTAGGCTGATGTGATTCTGGGCCCTCTTAGATTATGTATGTATTACATTACCACCTCAAGTAGCTTCTAGAGAAAACTACTAGCCCCCACCCCCAACCCCGGAGCCTTAAGGCGTCTTTGCTTAATGGTTTAGTCTCCTATAGAGACCCGATCTCAAAGACAGGGCTATCCATGATTAAAACTGACGCCATGGAAGGATAGTAAGTTGAGAGTGTGAGAAAAAATATGATAGAAAGACATTTTGTTTTGGTTTATCTCCTTATTCCACACATCATTAAAATTGTCATAAAAAGTTTTGAAACAAATCGCTACTGTCAGCTTTGGCACTCAAAACCCATGCGCCATAATGACATATGGGATCGAATGGACTCGAACTATAATCAAGACAAGAGTCAATAGCTGTTGCAAAAATATATTATTTTTCAAAATTATGCTGGAAAAATATGAACATTATCTATTCTACATAAAAAAATTCCGTACATAATCAGGTAGCTGCAGTTAAGTGGAAAGCTAATACTTTGACTGCATCAGTCTATGACAAGTTTTTAGTTCTTCTTGAAATGATAAGGATAAAAGTTACTTTATCGTTAACTAAGCAACGACTCTCAGAAAACGTTAATATTCTAAAACAAAAACGGACAGGAGATTAATTCCTCCTAAAAAACCTAAATTTCCTTTCATTAGATACAAACTATTGCTATATAACTAGACCTAAGTAAACAACGGCTGTCACAAAATGTTAATGTTCCAAGAGTATTAATCTTGCCTAAAAAACCTAAATGTTCTTCCGTTGGAAACAAATCCGCGGGAAAAGTCACTGTCGTTTCCAAAGCAACAGGAATTATATGTGCGGGACTGAACGTATTCGCCGTTGGCTGACTCTTCACTGGTTACACTGGACTGACTTGACGTTTCGTCAGCCTGATCTGAGGCAAGTGAATTGGAGTCACAAATTGATTCCATCTCAGTTAATGGTTCAAGCGAGGGAGTCAGCGGACGCTCCTGGCCCTTTTCTTCGTCCAAGTTGCCAAAAATGTGTGGAAGGTCCTTTGCAACAGAGTGCAGAAATGGAAAATCGTCGGCGAGGGACTTGGTTTCTGGTGCAGATGCTTGGCGGACTTCAGGCGGGTTGGAAACGGCCTTGCTGGCTTGGGTACAAACAGGCTGCGCTGGACTGGCAATGAGTGACTGGGTGTTGCTGAGTTGCTGAGGAACCTTGCGCACTGCCGCTGCCGGGAACCGCGGATAAACTTGTTGCCATGGAATCTGCTTAGGTGGAGGAGGCCTGGAGATCCGGGTTGATGCTGGTGGCAGTGGCACTCCCACAGGGTACGGCGTGGATGGAAACCGGTTGGTTTGGAACTCAGCAGAGCGACTAAATCCAACGTTGCCATTGAGATATCTCTTGGAGGAGGTTGGAAACAACGAGGAACCTAGTAGCGTAAAGCGGTATCCGGGAACGGAAGATCCGAGGAGACTTTTTTTCAGTTCCTTTCTCCATCTGTGGCGGCGATTATTGAACCAGGTCTAAAAGAGTGCGGAAAAAAATATATGTCAATCATTGCTACACTGAGAGCAAGTGAAATCAAGCTTTAGAATTCAACCATTGAATTATCTGATATTTCTATCCATTCCAAAAGGGCGATATCTGCGTACAAGTTATATTACTCGAAATGTTCACGTGTAAAAATAGCGGTAGTAGTCAAACGAAGTTAAGTCATGCGAAAGAAACATTTCTAATGCGTTTACGTGATCATTTAGTAAGCAAATTTAATAGTTCAGAAAAGGCACCCACTTTGATAAACATTGCATTTGCTTAATAACTTAACCGTATTAAACATAGTGATACACAGATGAAGTTTGAATGATTTTTTAGCTAAATTCACTTTTTGAACAAAAATTGTAAAGATGGAATTCTGTAGGTAGACAAGCGCGCATTGTGCCTTTTTCACCGCTACTAGTCTTATACCATATTCAGGGTTCGTATCCTTTTTTGAACAAAAAATTCAAGGACTTTCAAGGAAACATTTCGCATTTTTCAAGGACTACATTCAGTGCAAAAAAAGAGCCTTGAATCTATGTCTTTTCTTAGTTCTTCCACATCAGGAGGTCTTTGTGTTTGCTCCTTTTCCTTTTCAGTTCTCCTTATTGAGTTAGCATTGAAATTCAAGGACTTATTTCCATTACGTACTGAATCTTCCCCACAAGTATTCTAACTAAGATCCATTAAACGGGTATTTAATTTAATTTCTCGTGCTTTATATCGAATGGGTCTTCTTTACAACAACATACTTAGAATTTGGGGTACGAAGTCGGTCGAATTTCGGCGATCTTTTTATGGGGCGAATATGTCACTATAATACATTTGACTTAGACATACCATGACTTTCTCGGGAGGCACGCCAAGTCTCTCAGCAAGAGCGGTTTTCTCTGCGCGGTTTGGAAACATATTCCTCCGGAACAAAGCCTCCAGTTGCCATCTGTGCTCAGTAGTAAAGGTTATCCGGTCATTCCTCGACCAGGGTGGTGACGAAGGTCCAGTCACTGGGGTAGGCTCAGTGCGATTGGGAAGCAAATCTGAAGTGAAAAATAAATTCTCTTATTACCATCGTTATTGGTCTCGCTCTATAGTTTAAACATAAATCATCGCAATGAGGAAATACGATGTAACAGACTTCTGTTCTCGTGGGTGGCGCTCTTTTTGTGAACACGCAAGCACGCGAGAGTCAATCCATCAATCTGCAAGCACTACCCAAAATTTACTGCTAGACTCAAGCTAGACCTGGTTGTTATCTAGGGTTAATACAAGTATTAAGGTGAAAACTTTGAAAACTTGAAAACTTTTAATAAATCTACCATAAAACTGTAGCTGTCACTTAGGTCTTTTTTTATGCAAAACAAACAAAATTTTGAGCAGTGCGAAGAGGGCCTTAATCTTTACAGCAATGGCCACTTTTGTAAAACATTTTCGTTGTTTTCACGTGTACTGACTAGAACCAAGGCGTCCAAGCCCCGATAACACATACGACCGAAGTTTGGTTGACTGAACCACACTTTGGAACCCGCCTGTCCTTGTACCCTCAAAAACCTCTTCTAGAGCCGTCCTAAACTTAACCGTGTTGAATAATTTGATTTTTAAGGTTACCAGTCGTTTTGATACAAGTCGTTTCGATGCAAGGTTATTCAGTCGAGGTGTAAATAGTTTCGCATCCTTGAATTTTTAAGAACGAAGAAGATTTACCCAAAACTGATGTTTTTCCTGTTCACGCGCTAATGTTACTTGAAAAGGACGGACTTTTTGTGCAATTTCACTGTGTATCGTAATGACCGGTTTCCAGTTTTAATCTAAAATAGACTGTAACATCAAATCAGACTAAGCTGAATTCTAAAGGTGTACCTGTGAACTCTATAGTAGCTCCAGTAGCACTTTCATTTCACTTAATGAACTGTTTTCAAAGTCTAAAAATGCTCGCTTACCTGGACAGTTTTGCAACACCACAGGGTCTGATTCCCCGAAATCCAGACGACGACGCGATCGGTTGAGATCAGTTTTTTTTCGGCTGACGGTTAGTGGTTCGTCGAAGGTTAACTTCCTTCTCACAGATTCCACTGAGTTCATCTTGTACGTTAAAATGATGAAATAAACTTATCGAGATTACAGTTGCAAGCAGTTATGAAAACTGATAAAGTGAACTAACATCGCGCTTATTTATGTGTTTAGAAGGACGCGTGTTGTTTCTAAAGCTATTGTTTACAAATTGAAAGGAATTAAAAAGAACTCTGCATTATGGTTTAGATCCTTATTATCACACCTACTGGTTGATTTGTCTCACCTCATCATTGGCTCAAAATGGCTTTAAAGAACAATGATACATTTCATCTCCTACTTAAGAACACTATTTGAATTTATCACCTAAACATTTTCATAAAAGTTTGTTTGTTGTGTCGAGTTGCGAGATGCTGAAACGCCTTTTTTTGCTTGATCATTTTCAGTTTGAAAAAATGAACTGAACGGCCAAAATATAACAGTTGTAAGAGAGGCATACATATGAGATTGAACTTGCAACACTTAAGCGCGACAGCGTAACGACACCGAAAACTTTCAGAAATGTGCGCGAACCATCGCTTCCTGTGAGTTTAGTCGAAATAGGCCGAGATCGCTCTCAAATCCCCTTCCGCGTGTGAAGCGCGCATGAAACGATGTCCCCCAAGCGAGGCGGTTGGTCGCAGGCGAGAAATTTTTTGGAAGCGCGCCCTGTTAAAGATTCTTGTCATGCGCGTGGTTTAAGTATTTCAACAGAAAACTTGTGATTTTCGTTTAACAAAAAGACTTTGTGATTATTGCCAAGTGTAATGAGAATAATAAAACGGAGTAAAAAGTAGAGAACAACTGGATTTTCTGAATAGCAATAAAAATATCTCCTTCGCGATCAAGTCTTTCATGTAAGCTAAAATGATGCACACGTCTAAAAACATTAAGACTTTTTTTCTTACCAAAAAAGAAAAAAAAGACAGAGTAATTTTTCACGTTTACCAACGCGCTGAAAAAGGTGTTAAAAAACCGTTAGTCAAAAGAAATCACACCTATCGAAACCACTGGGGCTTGNAGAGAGGCATACATATGAGATTGAACTTGCAACACTTAAGCGCGACAGCGTAACGACACCGAAAACTTTCAGAAATGTGCGCGAACCATCGCTTCCTGTGAGTTTAGTCGAAATAGGCCGAGATCGCTCTCAAATCCCCTTCCGCGTGTGAAGCGCGCATGAAACGATGTCCCCCAAGCGAGGCGGTTGGTCGCAGGCGAGAAATTTTTTGGAAGCGCGCCCTGTTAAAGATTCTTGTCATGCGCGTGGTTTAAGTATTTCAACAGAAAACTTGTGATTTTCGTTTAACAAAAAGACTTTGTGATTATTGCCAAGTGTAATGAGAATAATAAAACGGAGTAAAAAGTAGAGAACAACTGGATTTTCTGAATAGCAATAAAAATATCTCCTTCGCGATCAAGTCTTTCATGTAAGCTAAAATGATGCACACGTCTAAAAACATTAAGACTTTTTTTCTTACCAAAAAAGAAAAAAAAGACAGAGTAATTTTTCACGTTTACCAACGCGCTGAAAAAGGTGTTAAAAAACCGTTAGTCAAAAGAAATCACACCTATCGAAACCACTGGGGCTTGATAGATCATGAGCATTCATTGAAATTAATTTGTGCATTCAACTGATGAATAATCCGTCGATTTTCAACTGAACTTAACGTAAATTAAACCAGAAAGAAGGATGGAAACCCTTACTTGAAATCGCTAGTGCAACATGAGTATTCAGTTTTTGTGCTCGAGGCCAAGAAGTGTGAAAAGAAAAAGAGTCAACGTTTTGTCATGTCAAATATCATTTTGATTAGGCCAGATTTGGCTATAAAATCGTATCAACTAATATACCATCTAAAATATTTCACCTAGTGAGCAGTGGGTGAAAGATATCAAGCCTGTTCCAGGCGTTAAGACTGGATAGTTTTTTTATTTTTCAGGTGGAGAGAAGCGACGACCGAAAATACGTCTGTGTTCGCAGGCTACATGTCTGTTTCCATCGGATTTCCGCGTGCAATTAAAAGTTTTCGTTGTAAATCTTCCCGTGTAACATCTCCTTAAACTTACGAAGCCAACTTTCAACACTGTGTTGAGCGAAAAATCTTCGAATCGTAACGGCATTCTTACTTCGCGTCGCTCTTTTAAATCGATCTAAAAGCCTGGAACACGCTAGAGATAAACAAAACTGGGTGCACATAATTTCATGAGAGGCGCATGTTTTATGAGGTGGATTTTCGAAACTACGGTTCTACTACTCGTAGTTGCGTAGTACGTATGAAAAGAAATAAAAAGAGTGAGAAAAAGAACAAGGTTTACTTTGTAGCACGTCAACTAAGTATTGAAAGGGCCGTTTATGTCAGGGAATTATGGAAAAGGTTGCAAATTAAGGAAATTCACATGCTTACTCAACGGTTCTTGAAATTTAAGGCTTCGTTTATTGATTCTTTAGGTAAAAAAGTTATCAGTTTCCTTACAAAACTTTGCAGTTCTTATTTTGAAGAATTACCAAGCAAATTGATGCTCCCACCTCTAATAAGTTGAATCTATGAGAAAAGTTGTATGTGATATTAATGAGTGTAAAATCAAGATCAACATTACAATACCCTTGAGGGAAGACTGTAAACACAGCACATGTGAAAGTGGTCAACTAAAATTATCACACCTTTCAAACATGAAACAGTGATTAATAGTCGCTACTAAATTAACATTATAATAAGATCTCATACACAAAAAAAGTCAGGTATTTATTGCAATATCAAGAAGAAAGTGCTAGACAAGAAAAGATAAAGCACATGCCTCATTTGCGTTATGCTCTATCCATCCCGGGTACAGATCCCACTTTCTCTTTGGGCCTCTGTGTTCGTAATGCCTGTCTTATCTTGGGCTACATGTAGCCCAAGATGTAGAAGTAGTTAAATTCTTTCTTTGAGTGGAGGAGTAAGCGTCAGTATATTTAACAATAATTATTCCTCGAGCCCGAATGGGCTTTGAGTCAATAGCCCACGAGGCTGAAGGCCGAATGGGCTATTGACTCAGAGGCCATGAGGGCAAGAGGAATCATTGTTTTAGTAAAATCCAACTAGTTGGTAAAAAATATTGAGACTAAACAACTTTAGCTAGTTAAGCTAGACTTTAATTCATTTTTGCCGCCAAAAAGCGGCGCTTTTCGCTACTAGTGGGCTATGACATATAGCCTAGTAGTAGCTTAACCACTCAGAATGCAGCATTGATAATACACCACTAGTTGGATTTTACTAAAATTGAATATATCAGCTTGAATTTTTAGTCATAATCTTGCATTGAACAAACAATGAAGCTTTCTTTTTATCTGTGTTTGAATGGTAGACAACCATAGCCACTTGGATGGGCAAACCTATGGCCAAATTGATAGGCAAACCTTAGTGGACAGCCGTTTTGTCCTTATTAGGCCTAATCGGCACTGCATATCCAACAACACATTAGGCACAGCGTTCCCACGGAGCAGGTCTACTTTTATCTTATGACATTAAACAACGTATAAGTACTTCATGTGCCATTGTTTGATCTAGGTAATGTTCCAAAAGTTTCTTTAAATACTCTTTCAATGGCAGTTTTACCTTCCTCTGGTAAAATCCTCGTTCCAATGCCGGTAAAATTCAAGGTCAACCTTGGCACCTTACATGATAGAAACTTCTGTTTGTCATAATCATATCTTTTCCAGGAACCAACCCCAAAGTCAAATACATAAACAGGCTTTCTAGCGTCTATGGCCATTTGTACAGCCCATCCTGTCCCACCTTCAACTATTTTCCCGCTTGCACAGAGTTTACCAACAGCGAATACGCCATTAGCGTCTTTCACTTGATACCAGTTTCTGCGAAGCAAATTATCTACGAAACTTTTACTAGTCGGAAAATGTCTCTTTAAAGTTTTGTTAGCTTTGTGCAAGTGTTCATCGGCTTGTTTTAACTGCCAATCCGCTAAAACGATTCGAGCAATATTCCGTTTGCCATGACCCTCGAAGGAAAATGCCTTCACGCGGACGCCATATTTGGCACCCATATTTTGCCAGTGCAAATCACTGCCTTGTGCACCCCCAGAGGAAAGAGTATAATGAATCGGATTTTCCAGGTAACTTTCTTCGATTCTTTGTAATGTTTCTTCGAGGGAAATTAACGCTCTTTCGTCCAGATCATCGCCAAGATGAAGATTACTTTCAGTGACCTCTTCGTTCGATGTGTTCGCATCCGCCATTTTGTTTGGACGTTTCTGGACACCTTACCTGGAAACCTGGGAACGATGTTTGCTTGTTATTTAGTTCCCAGGACCTTCTCCGAGTAACTTC